AACAATGGCTAACTCGACATGATTGGGTTTAGAAATAAGAATAAAGCTATGTGTACACAATTTTTTACACAATGTTTTACACCCCCCTCACATGGAGGGGGGCCCACACATAATAAAATAATCGTGGACCCCCTCCATGTGAGAGAGGTGTAAAAGATTGTGTAAAAGTGTGTGTGTACATGTAGCATTACCCATTTAGTTATTTATTGTCTAATTAAACATAAGTGTAAAAGTTTGCTTTTAACAGAGTTAAGTTTTAAATTAAACAAAAAGGTAAAACCTGTCAATTAGGATCTCAAATGTTCTAAAAAAAAGACCAGGGACTGATGCTACAATAATATTAGGTTTGAGACCTATTTGATACATCTTCAATAAGTTAAGGACCTGATCTGTAATCTTTTCGCATGTTTATTGAAAGAATTTTTGTTTCCAACCTAACCCAACTTGACTCAAATTCACTGGTTCCCGTTAATTTTTAAGTTCAATTGGAATGGTTTAGGTTAAAAAATAAAATTTGAGGTCAAGTTGGGTCTCGGATTATAAATTAAAACCCAACCCGATGAATTAAAAAAAAATTAATAATAATAATAATACCCAAAATAGAAAAAATCTAAATAGATATAGTAATAGAGATAAGAGAATGACTTAGAATGTACAAACGTCCATTTTTTTTTTATGAAGGCTGAGTGGCATGAATATTATGGACGTGATGATGAAATGCATGAATCTCAAAAAAATTGTCAAAAAGAAAATGCTCCATAATTTTAAACTTATTTGTACATTATTTTTCAGAAATAATTTCTTATATAGGTTAAAAATCACAAAGATTTTTAAATGGTTTCAAATTTTAAAAAATTGTCCAAATTCAACAACTAATTGAATCCAACTTGAATTTGGCTCAAACCCAAATCAACCAACCCAATCCAAAATGACACAAACTTGATCGATTTGAGTTGAATTGAGTTGAAACACAAAATGGATCGGTAATCATGCATTACCACCCGAGCTTTGCAACCGATTCGCTCAACTACTATGGTTACCACGAATCAATCATATTGTGTTGGGTTTGAGTTGAATAAAGAAATTTATCTAACTCTACCCACGCCCAACCCTAGCTGCAATCGTGCTTAAAAATACTGTACATGGAGAAATTAGAGGAATAATTCATGTCAAAGGACATATTGGTAATCAGTGTACAATCTTCAAATTGAAAGTGTGAAAATTCGTCTGTTTATTTCCTGTGGGCTTTTATGGACCAAAATTCAAACATTGGGGGTGTAAGCATGGGCTGGGCTTGATAATCAAGTCAAGGGCGTGGCCCAAGTCTGTATAACATGAAGTTCGTCCCACGTAGGCTCACTTTTGGTGACAACCGCAATTTATTAATATTAGGGTACAATACATAAATCAGGTTTTTAAGTAGGGAAAAATTCACTTTCCCTACTTTATCTTTACCCTATTTCAAAAATAATAAAACAACTTTTACATTTCAAAAATCAAATTTTTTGACCTATATATACA